CCCTCTCCCCGCCCGCCGCCCCCCCGCCTCTGAGGCCCTCCCCGTCCCCACCTCTCCTCCACACCCTCCCCCTCGTCTTCACCTCTCCCCCACAACCTCCCCAAGTCCCCTCCGCTCCCCTACACGCTTCAGCAGTGCTCCTGAGGCGTCTAGGGGCAGGAACTCGGGCCCTTGCAGCAGAAGGTCAGGGGTCCCCAAAGGGGCTCAGCACAGTGAACCTGAACCATTGCTCATCCATCCATGCATCAGTCCATCCACTCATTCATCTATGTATTCATCCATCCGCCACCCACTCGTCAATGCATCCATCTGTTCATCGATCCATCCATTCAAGCACACTCCCCCCCACCCACTCACCCATCCGTTCATCCATCTACCCAGCCATCTTCCCTTCCCATCCCGAAGAGAACTGAGGCACTTAGGAAGGGATCCCAGGCTTTCCGGCCACCTGTTCCAAAAGCAATAGAGCTGAGGACAGCCTGGAAAAGCAGGGACGGTGTTGCCACTGAGAATTCAGGAGCAGTCAGAGCTCCATGCCTGTCTTGGCTGTTTGGGGAGTGGGGAGTAGAGCCTATGATTTCTGAGAGAACGGGGCTACACTCCCCCTCTATCGCTAACACTTCTTCGCTAGACTTCATGATCCTCTGAACTTCCCAACTTCGGTCTGGAGAAACAAAAGATCTCTAGATGGACCCCACAGCCTAGTGGTTAAGGGTGCCAGATCCCACAGAGCTGAGGGCAGTTGGAATCTCAATCCTGGCTGCTTGAAAAACACGTGCGTGCGCGTTCACGTCCCAAATCCAACAGGATAAAGAAATGGAGAAGGAATTGAACGACCAGGGTGCTTTCTCCATTCTTCTCTTTTTCTGTTTCTCCGCCTTTCTCTGATAGGCCAGACACTGGACAAAACTGCCAAAAAACTATGTATCATCTGGGACACTCTTCCTGGAAGAAGCCAGGAGGCACCACGGGCTTCTCTCCAAGCCCAGGGTTGTGTCCACCGCGCAGGTGTCACACTTGCCCTGGTGCACGCTCTGGTTCACATGAGTTCAGGCCTAGAGTTCAGATTTGTGTAGGCCAATGAATTTGATTCTCCCAAGGACTCCAAAAAGGGTGGTAAGAGAAGGAAACCACCCTTGAAGAGAGGGGTAGGAAAGGGAAAGAATTTTGAAGAATAAATTGTCAATGACCAGGCTCAGCTAGAATAGAATAAACATCATGTTCATTCATTCAACCTGTATCTACTAAACTATTTTGGCAAAACACTCTTCTAGTATATACAATATACCATGTATATTACCCATTGTATATAGACTAACATAGCATATAACGTATATACAATATAGGCACTTATTATATCCTACTTAATGTATACAATGTACATCAGAGCTTTAGTGTGTAGCATCCTATAGGTAGGCAGATCCAAAACGTTACTTGGTGCATGGTAGATGTCCACCAAGTGAATAAAAGAGTATCTTTTTATAGTAATTTGATTCACTTCAATTATTGCAGTTCAGGCCAAACAGGGTTCAGTTTAGGGAAGAGTCATCAAAGTCTTTGGCAGGCACTAGCCAGCGTCCAAAGGCTGAAGAGGGCAAAGACTCATGGAGCCAGGACCAGAAACCTGAAACTAGAGTTGGCCTCCGCTCTGGAACCAGAATGGCCTCTCTTGCAAGTTTGGCTGCCCCTTTGAAGATGTCTCTGGCTGGCTTCCTTCATTTTGCTTTGGAGATAGAGGTGCAGTTATGGGGAATGCAGTGGCTCCCCTAGTCCTTTGGAATTCAGATGCTCTGTGCCCCTTTTTCCTTCCCAACCTACACCTCTGGATGTTTGGTTTAAGAAAAACCTGTTCTAGGGTAGTGTAGGGGTTATGGTGCTGGGTTCCCACATGGCTGACCATGGTTCAAGTCCCAGACCAGGTGGCTTAAAACTCATGCCAGGCATATGTGCGTGCATAACCAAAATCTTGGGAGGAGAATAGAGAAGGGGTTGTGGTGTGGCCATCTCTTGAGGCGTGATTTCTCACTTTTCCTCTCTCTGCCTCTCTGGTAGACACACTTACCCTATGGAAAAAAAAAGAAAAAAAAAAAGAAGAACCAGGTCTCTGGGAGACACATTTCTCATCATCTCCAGAAGATCTTGTGTGTCTCTTGATGCTTTGGAGAGCACTCCCTTCATAACCAGCTGCTTTGTAAGGGCACCACCCAAGAGCAGTCAGGACAGGAAGAGTGCCTTCATTGGAAGGTGCTGGGTGGCAGGGGTTCTAGAAAACGAAGGAAAGTCCCAGAGCTAGAGCTCAGTTGAGCAAAAGAAAAGAGAGGAGCATGAGATGCAGTGGAGGAATTGGAAAGGACCACAGAAAGGGATTTGGACTTTATCCTAAAAGCAATGGAGAACATTGAAGGGCTTCAAGCCACATACTTCCAGCCACAGATCTGCTTTAGTAACTGTCACTCTGGAGGCAGGTGAAGAATGGGAGGGCAGAGTGGATTCTGGAGAGCCACAGGAGGCTCTGGGAGAGAGACCATGATGTTGGACAATGCCAGGGCAGGGCGGACAGGGCTGCCAGTTCCTAAGGAAGGGACTGCTAGTGACAAGCGTGGTGGGGTGAAGAGGTCTGGAAAGGGTACTGAAGGGGGGGGGAATATTGTCTTGGTTAAATTTGAGATGCCTGTGAGACTTAGGTTAACAGAAGGAAGGCTCTTAGCTTAGCCATCTGAATGTGGTAAGAGTAGCTTCAGAAATGCTCATTTGGGGACCAGCAGTTAGCGTAATGGCTATGTTGCTGGACTCCCACATAGTCGACCACAGTTCGAGTCCTGGACCTGGTGGCTTAAACTCACGCCAGGCGTGTGTGCGTGCATGCCCAAGATCACCAAGAGGAAAACGGAGAAGAAGGGATTGTGACGTGGCCATCCCCCCTGAGAGGTGATTTCTCGCTTTCTGTCTCTCCGTCTCTCTCTGTCTGTCTGGCGAGCACACGTGCCCTATAGCAAAAATCTCTCCAAAAAAAAAAAAAAGAAAAAGAAAAAGAAATGTTTGTTTTCACTATCCAGGTGATTCCAAGTCTAGAACTCAGGAGAGGTCTCAGCTAAATCAAAACAATAATCTAGGAGACATCCACATGTGAATAACATCGGCAAATGAATACATGGCTTTCTCTGGCTATCTTGTCCTTTCCTCTTTTCATTTTCTAGTTCAATCTTCCCAACTCCTGCCTCCCCCACTTTCCAGCTCAACTCCCTGCCCCCCAGCCTTGCTCTGTCTCACAAAGAACACTTTATGTGTGCCCCAACATCTGACTCTGGGTTTGATGTTCGAACCACTGCTTAAAACTGTCTTCAGTTATAATACTATCTTCAAAGATAAAGACATCATCCACACTCATCACTGAAAGATCCTGTTACCAGGCAGTAGAGAGTAGTAAATAATCAGTTTTTCTTATCACATATTCAAATTCAAAATAAGGTACTTCTTTTTTTTTTTTTTTCCTTTTCTCTTTTCTTTTTTAGGTTTTTACCATAAAGCATCTGTGCTTGCTGGAGAGAGACAGAGAGGGAAAGTGAGAAATCATGAGGGGGATGGCCACACCGCAGTCCCTTCCCCTCCATTATCCTCTCAGGATTGTGGGCACACATACACACATTACACACACTCCCAGTGTGATTTTCTTTTCTTCTTTCTATCTTTCTTTTTTGAAGAGATTTTTGCCTTAGGGAGCATGAGCTCGCTGGAGAGAGAGAAAGAGACAGACAATGAGTGAGAAAGTGAGAAATCACCCCCTCAGGAGGGATGGCCAGGCTGCAATCCCTTCTCCTCCCGGGATCTTGGGCACCCACACCCACGTGCCCAGCATGTTTTTCAAGCCACTGGGTCTGGGACTCAAACTGCAGTCGGCCATGTGGGAGTCCAGTGACATAACTGCTACACCATCTGCTTCCCTCACTTCCCAGTGTGATTTTCAAGCTGCTGGGTCTGGGAGTCAAACTGTGGCCAGCCATGTGGGAATCTAGCGCCTTAACCACCATACCATCTGTCGGCCCCAGCTCTGGTATTTCTTCCATGTATCAATCTGGAATGGGACCCTCTGACATTTTGTCAGTTATAGAAGACAAGAATGGAAAATGGGTAAACCAGAGATGTTTCAGCGCCCCCTGTTGGCTGGCACCTCAGAAAGTTACTCTTTCAACCCAGCCTTCCTGAGGCTCTGGGAAGGAGTGGAAACAAGACTGAAGTGGAGTGGCGAGCAAGAAAAGAGGGCCAATGGGGACAAGGTGGTGTCCTGAGAGCCAGGTCAGGGAGAAGGCACAGTTAAGTTTGGGTGATGTTGAGTTGCCCAGGTGACGTCTGAAGGAAGATGTCAAGTAGGTAGACAGCTATAAAGCCAGAGCACAGAGTGGTCCAGGCCGGGCCAGCAGGAGTTAGTGAGCTCCCCGGGAGAGTGTGGGATGTAGGCTGGGAGCGAGCCCAGAGGATGTCTGACATTCAGAGGCAGGGTGGAGGGCAAAGAGCCATGAAAGGAAACTGAGGCTCAACAGTTAGGGGAAGCAGAGAGTGGCACACCAGCACCCTGAGAGAGAAGAGTTTCAACCATATCAACACAACAAAGGGACTGAAAGTGGCTGTGGGATCAAATACTGGGAGGTCAAATAGGATCTTGGGAGTGTGGAGGCCAAACTGTGGCAGCTTCAAAACTGAAGGAGAGGAACTAACAGGAAGAAAAGTCCAGGGAAGAAGCTGTGGGGTTTGGGCTTTGTTTTGTTTTTAAGTATTTTTTAGTCATGATAGAGTTCATGGGTTCACACATGAGGGAGAGAAAGAGAGAGAGAGATTCTTCACAGGGTCTGGCCATGCCCCAATC